ACCTTGCCTCAAAGATTTGTGCAGTTCTAAAATTTCCTTAAAATAAACCCTGCAGTTTATATATATAGTGACAATAAAGTAAAAGTAGAAAAATCTTTGCTAAAACAAATTAAGAAATTATCGAAGAAGAAAATTCTTTGGGGTAAAAATTACTGAAATGTTTCCCTTACAAATGTCTAACTTCGTGAATACTGTTACTGGGCACATGTCTCACAACGTCCTTGTTTATTCTCGCGTAGACATGAGTAATGTTAGAAGTATTATACGTTTGATTTCTAATGGATGTGATTAGACTTATCCACTAGAGAATCAATATTTATTGTCGCAATATACAACAGATTAACTTCTGCAGGTCACGCGCTTAGGAAACAAGACGGTTTTTTAAATACTGATGTTATGATCGGCTCGATTCCTTTGTGAAGGTAGTTTTTGTGGCAAGAGCTTTCGTGTTACATTTATTCTATTTTTAGAGCAGAGATCAACAGGTTGTTTATCAAAAATGCTAAATATAGTTATCTGGCTGTTAACGATGGGCCATATGAAGAAGTGCCAAAGCAGAGGTGAATGGCAGCTTCTAATGTTGGCTGAGACTCAAATAATGGCATTCTAAGTGATTAAAGCTGATCGATAGTCCACAGTTAGGACAGTTGTTTGGTCGAGAAAAACCAACGATTGAAAGGGCTTTTGAACTTTACTTTCCAAGCTATTGAGATAGTATTAAAATATGATGTACGTACTACATTGTGGGATTATCACTCGATCATCCTTATTTAGGACAGTCACGTGGTTGAAAAAATAAATGACTGAGAGGAAGTAGTTTTTCTTGCTTTCCAAGCTATCACGTGACATTCTCCGTATATTGTATGCTTTACACTGTGTGATTTCACTTGATTATCACGGTTAAGACAGTCATGGTTGAAAACTCAATAACTGAAAGTAGCATTCATTGCTTTCTGAGATTTTCGGCGGGATTGTTCTACAAGATGTGTGTACTGAATTTTTATGACTACCACTCAGTTATCATGATCAAGACACTTGGAGCGGTGAGACATAATATCTAGTATGTCAACTATTTGCACAACTGAAGATATTATTAGAAGTTCGAAAACTTAGCTGAAAGGCATTGCGACACTTGCTTTCTGAGCTATTGAGCAGAATATCTTCGAGATATACCCACCACATATCAAGTGATAGCTGCTTAATCATCATAATTTAGTACGGTTTGTTAATTGTGATATTAATGGGACCATAAGAGTTTAGTAACCCTTACGTTCCAATGTATCTATTAGGGCTTACAAAAAAAAAGAAAAAGAGATATCCCTAGGATATAGGATGATTTATTATCATAAGCTAGGATGGTTGTGTAGTTGCTAAATCAATGACTGAAAAGGAGTTGCAACCCTTGTTTTTTGAGCTAGTGAATAATTTTATGAAGTACATTGTCACCTAACATTTCGAGAGAATTCTTTATTTGATATAGCAGAGTGGTGGAAATTATAAATGACATACCACACGATCTTCTTTAGATTATCCTCAGTGCCCTATATTTTGATTATAACTGCGCTGTTTGCAGTGAGAGAGATGTGTTTCCTCTGAGTGTGTTGATATGCATACCATAGTAAATATAAACGTCAGTTCTGGATCTGTAAATTCTAGCGAAATGTTTTAGTTTAGCTGAATTATGCCAGTAATTATTCATTTTATGGTGCCTAAAACAAAAACACGAGAGTTTGACAGCTTGCAGATAGCAACAAGTTACAGACTACAATTGTTTAAACATAGCTTGTGGAAGGTTACTCAAGATAGCTATCAAAGTAATTTGCACGTATTTGCATTATTGGAAGACGTAGTATACCTGCTATTTTCATTAATTCTAGTAAAAGAATATTTCAATTTTGACTATGGAATATTCGACAGGTAGCGAATTTTAATTCTCCTTTAAATAGTACCCGAGAGTTCTTTTACACCTTCTATTAAATTCATGTCTCTTACCATTTGGTCTTTCTTTAATTTCCTGTCACATTCTTTTAATTCTCTGTCCCTTTCCTTTTCCTCCTTCTTTTAATTTTCTGTTTTGCTCCTCTAATTTTCTGTCTCTGTCTTCTTAATCTTTATTTAATTTTTTGTCCGTTTCTTCTTGATTTTCTTTTAATTGTTTTATAAACTCTGATATCATTTCATGAGGTCATCTCGAAAGTTAGAGTTTACTCAATGTTCTATTTTATTTTCACTAAAATAATAACTCCCACTTCTCACAGCACTGTTTAAAGTTTTTATTTTTGTATTGTAAC